AGATAGATAGATAGATAGATAGATAGATAGATAGATAGATAGATAGATAGATAGAGAGATAGAGAGATAGAGAGATAGAGAGAGAGAAGAGACACAAAGAGAGACAGAGAGAGAGAGAGGTGGGGATAGAGAGAGAGAGAACGCTAGAACCAGAGCCAGTGAGAGACAACCAGAGAGAGAGATTCCTGGAGACCAGTGAGACGAGACTCGCTGAAAGCAAAAGCGCGGGGCGGACGACCGTAGAGGCGCGAGAAGCGTGCTGGCACTGCGGTCTGGACCTGGTGGTGAGATCGGCGATATAGGGCAGGCCAGGGCGTCAGAATATACCCGACACTACCCTACTGGGCTTGAATACCATAGTCACCATTCGGACTCTCTGACGTGACGGGATTTTTCATTTGCTCGTTCCGCCTGCCTTGACAGTGGTGAGTGGAATCTGAGAATGTCTGACTTTGTTAATTTGATTTTTGATTTTGATTTTAATTCTTTAAGCACTTGTTACATTTATTCATTCATTCGTTCATCTGTCTATTTATTTATTTATTTATTTGTTTATTTGTTAGTTTATTTACTTTTCTTTAGTTTTTAAAATTTCGTGTCTAAATCTAAGAACTATTCGTACCTGTAAGGAACTTATTGATATTTCTGGTGTCTGGTGAACTACTTGGCAACCTTACAGGATCAGTGCTCCCCCCCCCCCCCTTTCCTTTCGGCCCATACAAAGAACAAACAGTAACTATCCCATCTATTTTTTCGACAAAATAGACTTAATAAAATCAGACAAAACTCGATATTTTATGTGTTTAATTTTCCCAAATTAACACCAGAAAGATGGGGTAGTCATCGATTACTTTACTCCGGCAACAGAAGAGGAAAACAAACAGATTGCATTAGAATTCATCAAAATCGTGCGATTTAGACCCTATACACTCGCATCTATGGTGTAGCTGTGAGTCGCTTCGTCAACACACGAAGGAGATCCGAGTTCGAATACCCCAGTGAAAAGATTATCTTGGTCTTTTTTCTGGGATATTTCATCCCTTACTTTAGGCCCAGATTGGCCGTGACGTCAGGGCTGGAAGCCTGTCTTAGGTCTATCTAAGTTTTGCATTTTGGGGGCGTAAGTATACCTACAATCTAAAAAAAAAAGACTCTATTACCCACCTGCCTTTTAATGAATTGTTGAAAAGAACTTCTTCTACACTTTACCTGAATTGCAAATGACTCTCTCTTGTGGGGCACACTTTTTTTTAACAGCTCACGTGAGACCCTTTTTGAAAAGAACCTGAACTTGATGAAAAGGGCTTTAACAATTTTGTAGGCTGATTTCAAATCTTACACTTTTCAGCCAAAATTCTGAAAATGGTTTTTTCTAATAAAGTCTAGCGTCATATCAAGACAAATAATATTATGGAATTTATCACTGGGCACGCAAGGCACACCGAGACATTTGGACCTTGCACTGGTATCTTAAATGGAACTGATGAATGATGTGCCAGGATCCGGACAATAAAGATATATTTTATCTTATCTTATCTTATCTCTGAAAGAAAGGTGTGTTTTCTTGCTCTTTGGGGCCTCTTGGCAGCATTAATTGGCAATAATAATTAACATCTTACTCGAGAGGCTAAATGCCACTTTTAGGGTTAAGGGTACTGTCTTGCATTGTTCATGTCATATCACAAAGACCGAACTGTTGTGGAAGGAAGAATGTGATCAGATAATGTAATGCTCAGATTTTGTTACTCCTCAGGGGTCCGGTTTTGGACTTATTCTGTTTACAGTGTATACCCAGCGTATTGCTGTTATTTTAAGACAGCATGGCATGAATTACCATCTTTATGCTGATGACACTTAAGATTAATAAATCTGTTGATTTTGAACGAATACCATTTTTGTCGACTCTACTAATGTATCTAAAACTGACTGAACGTCCAGTAATACACTGAAGTTGAATAATGACAAGACAGAAATAATGAAGAGAGAATAATCAATTAATACGCGATCAACCAGAACTTAAAAATTGCCCTCAATAATCATAGCATTTTTGTACCTTTATCTACTGGCAGGGGAGGGGGATGGGTTATTTCAATTTGCTCTTTAAAATGTTCTCCTGATTGGATGAATCGGACCAACTATATGTGAAGGGATTTTCTCGCCGCTTTATTGGACTCCTTTACATTCTGGACATTTTACTATAACAGACACTATAATAATAATAATA